ATTCTTTGTATATATATCCCTGGAATAAATGTGTACGTGTGTGTGTGTGTGTGTGTGTGTGTGTGTATGTGTGTGTGTGTGTGTGTGTGAAGCTGGTGGTTGGGCCTGATTACATGCTTTGATACTTACTGAGATATATTGCTAGTACCAGAAATTTAGAAATGTATACATACACTCACATAAAACTTGTTATCTTTGGCTTGTATGCACCATCTACCCTTGTGACCCATGTCCCAAAAGTACTGGTTCTTTTGCCAATCTTATGCATTCTTCTATAACCAACTCTGGATTTTCAAGAAGCTATCAAAAACCTACCAGCCAGATATTCTAACATACTTTCTGTCTGCTTCTGCATTTTCTTTCTTCTTCATCTAGAATACTATACACATATTAAAATATTCCATGTTATGATTCATTAAAGTTTGTTCAGATTCCATAATTAGGTTATTTAATTCTCCTGCTCATGATCTCTCTGACTTTGTTTCCTGTGAATCCTTTCCTCAGCCTTTCAGCTCGGTGTCATTGGTTGGCCAATTGTTCTCCAACACTGTAGGAATAAATTCACCCCAGGGTTCTTGAAGTCCCTGCCTACTAAATTTTCCCTTTATCTGTGTGCCTTATACTCTTACTCCTTTTTGGTTTCTAGTCAAGTATCATCTTTTCAGGAAGGTCATTTTTATATTTAGTTTGTGTAATGCTAAACACCCTCCATGGTATTTCATGAACAGTTTGCTTTTTCCCTGAGCATTTATCATTCTTTAATATGCCATATATTGTATTTTATGTTATTGTCCATTGTGGTTGATGAAAGATTTATGTCATTTTATTATTGTACATCTAGTTCTAAGAACTATCCCTATCAAATAATAATTGCTAAATAAACATTAGTTCTAGGTAATTTTTACCACCACAATTTCCATTTGTAAATAGGAGAAAATGTGGTTCACTGTTTCAAAGACATTTCTTTCTGTGCTGAAGCCATCTGGGCAATTTCTCTTTACTGCTTGTCCTATGGATTCTTTGTGAGTATCTCAGAAGTTAACAAGTTTGCCTACAACATTCATAGTACCTTCTGAAATGACTATGTGAACCAGGACAGGTTATTTACATTTTCAGTGACATGTCTTTTAACTGTCTCAGAATTTACAATGTCCAAGAGCACTGTTTCTTTTGCAATCTTATAGTATGACTAAGTGGAATTATATAAATAAAGAGTAGTTGATTCTGTATATAACAATTTATAATTATATCTATTATATCTCACCTTGTTTCCTCACCAGAATTCTAAGTAGTAATAAGTCACAGCATGATAAAATAGTGTAAGGCAGTAAATGACATTCCTTGACTAACATGTAATGCAGTATGAGAGGAAAATGCCAATTGATATTCCTCAAGTTCTTGAGTCTCTTGCCTTCTGCTCTCTGTTTGAACAGAAATTAATCTAGTAATTTGTAGAGCATTTTATTTCTAAGGTTCCATATCTTCACAGAGCTTACCTCAAACATTGTTTCCAAGTCTCTTGCTCAAAAATGATGTTCTGGTTTATTTAATATCTTCTATATCCTAATCAGAATATCACATCTGGATTTCCTGGCTCCCCAGATAATAGCTAGTCAGCTAATTATAGCTTCTGTAACAGGAAACAGATGCTTTTAGAAGATCCCCAAAGAGGAGCTGTGGGATTGCCCTTAAGGATTGGATCCTAGAGGGCGGGAGGTAGGGCTTTCTCTAGCTAGAAATTTGCTTTGCATTGGGCCAGCTTGATCAACAGTGTGTTCTTCAGGACTGTGTGTGTGGATAGATGGATACCTGTGGACTTCATGGTGTGGCATAAGGATAAGTTGTTGCATCTCAATATATTCCCAGTTGCAAAGACAGAAAACTATTAGAGAATAGCATCTATTTTCATACCCCCTTGCTCCTATCTAAGTATCCTTAGTACCCTGATCTTCCTAATCACTGCCCTTTACTGGTTCATATTGCATGCTTTCATTATCAGTAGTTCATTCACTAATACTCCAAATGAATATAAAATTCAGCTAAATAGGTATTTGAAGTATAAACTTATCTAATTTAAGTGACTTATGAGTTATCTTTTTTGCCATTCTGAGTAAAATGAGTTATATAGAAACTTGCTCTCTGTAGCCATTTAATAATTAAAATAATATTAACAAAGACAGCTGAAAGGTTGAACGACTGTAAATAGAAAATAACATAAGCATTTCAGGAAGTGTGTATGTTACCTTCCCATGCAGTGCAGGGTGATGACGATTTCTTGCTCATGCTTTCCAGCATTTTTGTTTAAGGAAAGTTTTTTTCCATCATCTTTAAAACCCCTTTTCTATGTGAAGTGGGAAGAACAGTGTTGACAGCACTTATAAGGATCCACGAGTCTGGCTTCTTGCTCCATGCCTTTAATGCACAGGACTCAGCAGGCAGACACAGTTGGATCTCTGTGAATTCTAGGCTAGCCTATTGTACATGAACATACAGAGTTCCGGACCAGTTTATATTGTGATGGGACCAATTACAGTTTTGTTGTTTTGTTATTTGTTATGAGGTTTGTTTGTAAGTATTTTAGGAGGCAAGTAATAGACTCTGGTAGACACCAGAGACTACTGGTTCTTTTTGGATTCTGCAAGTGTCTCTTAACAAGATACACAGGTCTACGTTGCTAAAACCTGTACAGAGTTTGAACTCCATTTGATTAGAGTGAGAATCTTGTTAAAAACTGGATAGCAAATACTTTTCAATTAGATTTGACTGAAGCAGCTGAAGCACTGGTAGGGATACAAGTGCCCAGGAAAGTTTGTCCCCTTTCTTAATATGTCCCAGTGTCTCATTAGATTGTGTTTGTGTACAGCAATGAACTTCTGCATCCTGGGTTCCTCTTGTCATTATCTCTCATTACCTCTCACATCAGTTTTGGAGGGTAGTTGAGGAGAATATGCTTTCAGAACTATGAAGAAGAAAACACTGTAGGTCTTCCAACCACATACATCTCTTTCTTTGAACTGAGTATAAGGTAGGGGAAAGAAATAGAAACAATACGAGTATCTCATAGATACAAAATGCCACTTTATGGGAAAAAATGAGATTAGATAGGATGCAAAAATATCTGTGAATTCTCTCTTAAGCCGCAGAAAAATCCAGTTATTGTTACTGATTATCTATACCAGGGGCACATGCTTATTTTCTTAAACTTTAGACAAGTGGTTCCCAACCTTCCGAATGCTGGGACCCTTTAATACAATTCCTCATGTTGTGGTGACTGCCAGCCATAAAATTATTTTCAATGCTACCTCGTAACTGCAATTTTTACTACTACTATGAATCATAATGTAAATATCTGTGTTTTCGATGGTCTTAGGTGACTCCTACGTAAAGGTCATATGATGCCCGCCCCCTACACACACAGTGGAATTGTGACCCACGTGTTGAGAACCACTTCTTTAGACTGTGACTTAGGACCTATTCCCTAGTGTTCAAAATTACATCTCGTGTTGATGTCACATGAGGCATTATTGCTAACGTGTGAAATTGTAAACCTCTCTCTGGACGGTAGAGAACAGCTGTGAATCTTTTCCATCCTCAAATGACACAGATGCTTGGTAATTACTGCTGAGCTGATGTCTATTCAGAATACTTGTATCAATGTTGCTCCTGTTCTCTTACTGCTTTGGAAAGGGTTGTCTTTGCAGCTAATCCTGTGTGTGTGTGTGTGTGTGTGTGTGTGTGTGTGTGTGGTGTTGAGATGTGCAACAAGAATCCCAGAGGTGTCACCCTTTCGCTACCATTATTTTCTTATCCTGTCCCTGCATTGACATTAAAGACCCTATTGACTCTAGCTTTTTTTTTTTAAATTGTTTCTCCCTTTAAACTAAAGCCATCCTATTCATCAACTGCAACTCCACAGCTACCAGCAGAAACTAAACCACAAGAGCCAAAGCCTGAGAGAATTCTGTTCCCTCAGGCACCTACTCTTTCAAAACTACTAAGGAAACATAACTTAAATCTCTATCCCAGTAAAAAATCGAAGATTCAAAGATTGAGGCAGAATCTTGCTTCTCAGTGAGGCTCACCTAGCTCACCTCTTCACATCTCCCAAAAATTCCTCTTGGTTTTTCCAGCCCCTCCTTGTAAACCTTTCTGCACCTGGCTGCTCCCTACAACGTTCAGTCAGCTAGTTGCTGACCCAGTCTCCTGACCACAGGTGAATTTTATTTAATCAAACACATCTTTGCATCATTCCAGAGCATAAACAAAAATAACACACCTTAAAATAACATTTTACCAGAGACTCTAAATGTTTATGCTACAAATAGTTTTCTCCAAAATATATTTAACTTCACAATTTATGGTTAAAAGTGTGAGCTGTGGTTATTCTTGCAGATGGTTTAGGGACAACAGACTTAACATTTAATCTATGCAAGCTGATTGTAAGCCTATGGGACTGGGTGGATAGCAAAGGGTGCACAGAATTTTCTGTGTTTGTAGCTGTGTGGTAGGTCCATGAACAACAGCTTGGGAACCCTTTTACAAAACACTGGTAAAACCAGGTCAAGGTGCAAGCTCTCGAGACAACAAGCTAAAAGTACCAGTAATAAAGCACACAAATAACCTGTATATTGAACAACGTAATAACTTTAGATGACTCCAGAAGGGATAGCTTCTCTAGTGCTCTTTTGCCTTTTAGCCAATGCTGCAAAAACTTTCAAGAGGCATTTGTCTGCTTTTTATTGTGATGTAAGAGTGTCTGTTAAACATCGAGGGTGGTTCTGAATTCAAGTTGCAGATCTGCAGCACTGACCATAAAGCTAAGTATCTTAAATAGTAGGAGGCAGCTAGAGTTGACTCTACTCCTTATGAGATGAAATTATGGGGCCATCCAACCTGGGTCCAGGACTAAAGAAACTGTGCACAAGTACTAAAGTAACTTAACTCAATGATGAAGACATAAGTGATAAGCTGTGTTTTCCACCCTTCCTGCTCCCTTCCAGAGACTGGATCTCCAATAACAGCATCCTGTATTGGACTGGGCAACTCTAAAACACCTCCACCAGGGCAGGCAGGAAAATGTGTTCCGGGGTTCAATGGTAAGTCGTGATACCAGAAATTTGAAATGTACATTGTTAATGACTTTGGTATTTTCTTGTACCATATATATATATATATATATATATATATATATATATATATATATATAAAATACTCGTTTTTAAGAATGTCATACATTAGAAACGGATGTTTCAGTTTTTGCCATAAAAATGGTGCTATGTTCTTCTGATGTCTTCTTTTGAATGACTAAAAACTCAATAAAATGTCACTTGAAGTCTTTTAAGGTTATGGGATTTGAAATTATGACATGTGAAGTTCCCAGTGCTTACATGTATCATTTCATTTTTTGATGATGCATATTTAGTCTACAGTTTTGTAAATACTTAGAGAATAATAACATGAAGCACACATAGAGACTGTCCATCATTTCTACAATAATGCAGCCCTTTAGTTTTCAAGAACATACAAATCTGTGCTTTCCTTTGTTTCCTTGCTTCATTAACAAAACAATCGATAGCTTCTTTCATAATGCTTTTGAAGAATGTTGTAAAGGTTCTTGAATCTTGTTGGCTAAAAAGTAAATGCAGAGTAAATAATTTTAAATAAAAGTTTCTTCACTACCCAATTCATATAACAATACTATATCCTCCCAATATTTGATTTATATATATATATATATATATATTGGCCATTATAGCCAAATAATTTCAATGGGACTCCCCTCCTTAGTTGCAAAAATTTTAACTCTTCAATATTCAGTTTTCTTATTTCTAATCGCCTATGATTGTATGGCATTATAGGTCTGGTGAATTGTGGTATTATAGAACCAGGGACTTATACAGGTACCACAACACAAAGTATGGAATGAAATCTCAGCTGTTAGTGCCACAAACATTTCAGAGAAGCCAGGGAAACCAAATTGACACAATGTAAGACCCTCAGAATGAGGAGTCTTCCAGGTTCGGTTGATACCCCAAGAACTCAATGTCCAGTCCAGTTGCTGCAAAACGCAAGAGGCTTTAATGAACAGGAAACGTTTGCGCAAACGGGCTCCTCCAGCACGCAGGCTAGGGAGAAGCCCCCTCCCCTGGGCCCAGGTGTTTTTAAAGGCAACCCCACAAGCTTAGGGAGGGGGTGGGACCCTCTGTCCATTGAGTACGTGACCCTTGGAGGCCGGATGGTCTGCTATTAGGGTCAGCAGACCTTAGGGCTTCAGGTGTGCCAATTAATCTAGTCTGGGCAAACCAGAGTTACAGCTATCTCTTGACCCTATTTACCACCTGTTGACTCACAGGAAATGAGGGGCAGTGTGAATTCTTCTTATCTCAGGGCCTTGTGAGAGGAAGCTAGCAAATTCCAAGGAACAGATATTGGTTTCTAGGTTAGTCCATCATTAACATTACTTTTTAGGTCTTTCAACAGATTCAGACATTCATTGTAAAAAAAAACCCAGAGAAATGAGGCATAAAAGTTATATTATATATATATATATATATATATATATATATATATATGTGTGTGTGTGTGTGTGTGTGTGTGTGTGTGTGTGTGTGTGTGTACACTTAATATATAAAGTTTTAGATACATAATGTACACAAGGTCACACAATTTCGTCTAGTACATTGATAAGGAAAAGCTAGTTTTCAGGGACATTCTGCTTAATGTGATGTACTGGCTAGTTTCATGTCAATTTTACACAAGCTAGAGTCATCAGAGAGGAAGGAGTCTCAATTGAAGAAATGTCTTCACAAGATTCAGCTGTAGGGCATTTTCTTAAGTAGTGATCAATGGGGGAGGGCCTAGCTCATGGTGGGTGGTGCTATCCCTGGACTGATGGTCCTGAGTTCTCTAAAACAGACTTTCAAGCCTCCTCATAGAAGGCCTCACTCTCCCTGGGGATGGGGGTTGGTGGGGGGAACAGGGGAGGATGGGAGGGTGCAGGAGCTGGGATTGACATGTAAAACAAGCTTGTTTCAAATTTAAATTAAAACATTATACATATATATACAGCAGGCTGAGCAAGCCAGGGGAACAAGCCAGTAAGCAGCTCCCCCCCCCCCCCCACTCCCATGGCTTCTATGTCATCAGCTCTGGCATTCAGGTTCCTAACTTGCCTGAGTGTCTGCTGTCACTGATTTTTTACTAAAGGGTTACGGAAACTGTGAGCAAAATAAACCCTTTCTTCTCCAAGTTGCTTTTTGAGCCTGGTGTTTCATCACTGCAATAGAAACCCTAAGTAAGACATGTTACAGTATGTATATTTTCAGGGCTAGCCATTTGACATTGGATAACCAATTAATCTGATTTTTCTCTGGGGGAGATCATTTCCCCTACGCCCAGTTTGCTTACTTGTCTATACATAGCATTGAAGCCTCCTGACTTTTCCCATCCACTTTAGCATGTCTGCAGTTGTCCTTGTTCAGCTAATGTATAGACAGTCATGTTGGACATTTCATTGCAGGTGCATATCAGTTTTATAATTCTGTGAAGCCTAGACTTCTCCTGCCATGAGAGAATGAGCCCATATCCCTCACCCGAATAGTCATCATCCTCCCCATTTGATCAGAAAACTGGCTTTGTGTTGAGACATTTTGTAGGGGCTGCCAACTGTGGCACATGTTAAAGACATTTTTCCCTTAGTATATCTGTTCCACTTTTATACTCAGTTGTAAGGAAGAGTTAAGCTTTGATGTCTCACTTTAATACAGAAACTCCTCATTGTCTGGAAACCACTGGTTTCCAGAGGAAAGATTAAACAACTGTAGTTGAGGAGCCGGCCACTTTATGACTGATATATTTTTGGTTTGTTTTATGTCTATATGGAACTTTGAAAGCATAATGAAATACACAGAATGATGGTAAAAGAGAAAGCTGCTTTAGGAAAGGAAGTCTTTCTTTATGAAAAAATCTAGGTGATTGTTTTAATCTTGGGCCAGTGTCTTCTCTTAGCTGCTTAAGAATGACCTAAGTGAAGAGAGACACATAAAGGGTCTACACAAAGAATCTAGATGATTATAATTCATTTTTTGTTTAATATACTATAAGGTGGGCACTAGGTTTGCTACTAAACACTTTCCATATTTTGTCAGGACATCCCAGAAAATATTAGAATAATATTTGGAAACATAAATTGACCTAATTTACATCTCACAAATGAATATGCTGTCTTTGTTTTTATTGTCCATATGTTTGGCTGTACTTTTAAATTGTACTTAATTTATAAAAGATAGACATATGGTTAATATTCTTACATGGACAAAACCATAAAATGTAATTCTGTGGGCTTTTAAAGATATATGTTTATTTTAGGAATGTTCTGAGGAAATTTACTACCTTGCTACATGTCAAATGCATGACCTTTTATATTTTAGAAAGCAGTTTATCTAACTTTATGTCTTCATGTTCTAGCAGGAATACAACTTTAGAATTGAATTTAGAAAATGTGGGAGATATTTGATGATTGGGGGGGTTAGTCTTTGTGTTTACAATTGTGTTCAGATTTGTGTTCATATTTTTCTTTTAGTTATGATTTTGGATGACAACATGCAAAAACTGAAGGCCCGAAGCTTAGGAAATATTGTGGTAAAGTAAGCAAAAATTTTAAGCTAACCACCTAAAAGAAAAAAAATGAACTGGATATATTCAGGTCAAATTAATTGATTGCATTGGTATTACATACAAGTGGTGAGATGTGTTTTGCTTGAGAAGTATTTCAACTCAACTGTAATTTAAAATGGAAGCCCCATAACAAACAGATATTCAGATTAAAATTTAAAATCACCAAGTCTTGTTCTTTTAAAATAACCCTTTTTAATATTAGACAATGTATAGATGATAAAAATACCTTGTATATAGAAAATATAAAATAATATTAATGGCCAATCCTGGAAACATACATCTGTGTAACATTATACAAACTGGACAGGTTATATTTACGGTTATATTTGTCTAACCATAAGCATATATATATATTCAATAACAATTGTTGAAAATAGTAGGAAGGGTTTAGAGGGAAGAAAGGGAAGGGAGAAATGGCATAACTATATTATAATCTCAAAAGGAACAGAAAAATATAAAACAGAAAGCCATTTCTGTGCCCCTTACTCCCACAACACTAATTTTGCAATGTACAGCTCTGGTGACATAGCCACTATCGAGACGTCATCTACAAACACTGGGTATGAGATAGTGGCTCCTGAGTGATTTCGAGGCAAACACCCTCTACCTGCTTACATCTCTGTAGTGAGGACAGCACTCAAGGACTTGTATCATTCACGCTGATGCAAACAACATACTGTTCTGATTGTATTTTAAAGTGTGTCATACCCAAGTATGGATGGATTTTTATGTTTGATAATGTTAATAAATGTCTATGCTACCAGCTCTGTATTCCATGCAATGTATCATGCATTCATGACTTGAGTGTTTACCCATACCTGTACAGAAAATGGTACTAGGAAACAGATCAGTGCTTTAATGGCAGTAGTTTATAAATGCCATGTTTCATTCTATTGATAGGCATGTCCTATATTTCATCTGTAACATTAGGTTTGTGCAAATGAACTCTATGTTGCTCACAAATTACCTAGTGGTATATATTTTTAAACATGTTGCATAATTAACCAGTTTGTGATTGACTCTGACTGTACATTTTTGACAAATAATTTATATTGTGGACTCAGTAAAGTGTTTTATCAGCTACAGTTTACAGTCTTCTCTTAATCTTGTCTTAAAAGCAGTTTTATTTTATTCCCCGTCCTTTCTGGTTTTTTTTTTTTTTCTCTATTACGAAGCTCAGTTCCTTTTGCACTTTTATGATTACACATAATGCTGTATTGTATATCTCTTTGGCTTCATATTTTCTCTTTTTCAGATCATCTGTATTGTACTGAATGCTTAAGTAAATATAAAATTACTGAATCAAAGTGAAGCATATAACTAAATTCCTCACAACAGTGATACCACAGTTTCTTGAAACATATTTTTTTTTTAATCACTGTTCACTAGCTGGAAAAATTGCCAAAACTTGATGGAACATATTTCAATTACATTTATTATAAAATACTTAAAAATCATCATGAGAGTAGAATATGAAATGATTAAGTTGGTAGCCACATAATGTGTGACATTTAAAAAATTGTTGCAGGCTGCTTGGTGTCTCTAATTAACATAACTTTCACATCATTGTTGATATGTCTGAAGCAGCAGACTTTCAGTAGGATGAGTTGTTATGAGTAAAGAATATCGCATGTCCCAGCTAAACTAAGATTTGCCATGAAACTTACTTCTACTGAACAGATTCCCTTGCATCTTTAGAAGGTGCAAGGTTTCCTTCCTTTAATAAAATACATTAAATGGTATAACTTTAAACAGTTTTACAAATATATTTCTTCATGTAGAATTATTTTAAGATTCATGAAATACAATACATTCATATAAAAATTTAAACAATATAAATCTCATTATCTGATAACAAATCCTTTCTCATTAGACTAGATAAGAGTACATATCTTCCCCTGTTCTTCTCAGTAACTATGTAAGGCCTGTGTTGCCTTTTTAAATGTATCACATCTAAAAGGATGGAAAAATTTATTATTGAATATTATGGTTGGTTTCAAAATTCTCTTTAAATCATATTAAAATCCAAAATAGGACTAACATATGGCCCAACTCTTTGACTCTGGTGCACATACCCAGAGAACTCCATACCTCCTCCTAGAGATAATCACACACCCATGTTAATTGCTGCTCTAGTCACTGTATGAAAAATTATAATCACCCTAGACATCCAATGCATGGATAATGAAAGTTATGAATATATATACATATATATATATATATATAATTAAAGCAGACTGAACTGATATTAATAACAATTATATTATATTATAATCTTTTGAGGGAAAAATATTATTATATCTTAATCTTTTGAAGGCAGGGCCTTGCTAGAGAAAATATGAGGCTATTTGCAGATGGATTATAACTTAATTTACAGAAGTACATTTATTTTAAAATTTAAAAACCTTTCTAGCAGCATATACCTTTATGTAACCTAATTTTAATGAATCATCCCTAGCAAAGGGATGAGAGGGATGTTTTTCAGAATCTCAGTGATGACATTTGAGGCCCTCACAGTTTTATTATTATTATTATTATTATTATTATTATTATTATTATTATTAATTAAGCAGTTCATTCTATCCACATTTTTTTATTTTACATATGGATCCCAGTTGCCTCTCCCTCTTTCTCTCCCTCCCACGTCCCCCAATCCCCCTTCCACCCCATCCTCCCCCATTCCATAGTGAGGATGATACCTTCCAGGAGGGATCATCAAAATCTGTCAAGCTATTTGGAGTAGGGACTAGGCCCTCTCTCCTGTCTCTAGGTTAAGGCAGTATCCCTTCATGGGAGATGTGCCCGCAAGGTCCTTTTGTGCACCAGGGATACATCCTGGTTCCACTGTCAGCGGTCCCTTCTAACTGAGACCCATGTTCAGGGGGTCTGAGTGGGTATGATGCTGATTTCCCAGCTATCTGTCTGGGAGTTCATTAGCTCCTCCTTGTTCAGGGTACCTGTCTCTGTGGGTTTCTCCAGCCTGGTCTTGAACCCATTTTCTTATCACTCCTCCCTCTCTGCAACTGGATTCCAGGAATTCGGCTCAGTGTTTACCTGTGGGTATCTGCCTCTGTTTCTTTCTTTATTTTATTTTATTTTATTTTATTTTATTTTATTTTATTTTACATGACCATCCTAGTTCCCTCTCCCTGCCTCCCTCACTCCCTCCCTTCCTCCCATCCTCCCTCTTATCCTCTCTCCCCCTCACATGCACCCTGACCACCTTCCCCTCCCATCCCCCCACGCCAATTCAACATGTAGAGCTATGCTATCCAGGTGGGGTCATGTAATTCTGTCAAGTCATTTGAATTAGGGAGTAGGACTTCTCTCCTGTCTCTGGGTTAAGGGAGTATCCCTCCATGGGGGATGTGTCAAAAGGCCCTTTTGTGCACCAGGGATACATCCTGGTTCCACTGTCTGAGGTCCCTCAGACTGCTCAGTCCTTCTGGCGAAGACCCATATTTAGGGGATCTGAGTCAGTTCCATGCTGCATTCCCAGCTATCAGTCTGGGGGACACTTAGCTCCTCCTTGTTCAGGTCAGCTGTCTCTATGTGTTTCTGCAACCTGGTCTTGTCCTCTCTCTCTGCAAGTGGATTCTAGTTCGACTCCGTGCTTAGTTATGGGTGTTTGCTCCTGTTTCTAACAGGTAATAGATGAGGGCTCCATGATGGTGGATAAGTTAGTTGTTGATCTCTATCAGGGAAGGGCATTTATGGTAGCCTTTCCACAGTTGCTCAAATTGTTAGCTGGAGTGAGTCTTGTAGGTCTCTAGAACTTTCTTTAGGTTCAGTTTTCTCTGCAAACCAATAATGGCTCCCTATTTTACTCTCTCTCTCTCTCTCTCTCTCTCTCTCTCTCTCTCTCTCTCTCTCTCTCTCTCTCTCTCTTGTCTTCTATTCCTAATTCCTACCCCGACTCAATCTTCCTAGTGGCACACACTTTCTTCTCCTTCCCTTCTCTTTCTCCTACTTCTCTCTCCTTTCACTCCCCCCCCAACTTTATATGTGCTATGGGTGATTTGTCCCTTCCCCCTTTTGTGAGGGACTTTATATGAATCTTTTAGATACATCTTGTATCCTAGTTCCTCTGGTGGTGTTAATTATAGGCTGGAGATCCTTTTCTCTAGGTCTAAAATTCATTTATGAGGGAATATGTACCTTGTTCCTCTTTTTGTAACTGGGTTACCTTGTTAATTACCACCCACTTCCCTGTGAATTTCAAGATTCCATTATTTTTTTCTGCAGATTAGGATTCCATTGTGTAGATGTGCCACATCTTCTTTATCCATTTGGCAGTTGAGGGCATCTATCTTGCTTCCAGGTTCTTGCTATTACAAATAATGCTGCTATGAACATAGTAGAGCACATGTCTTTGTTGCATAGATGTGGATTATTTTTGTATATGCCTAAGAGGGAGATTGCCTGGTCTTATGGTAAACTAATTCCCACTTTCCTGAGGAACTGCCATACTGATCTCCAAAATGGCTGTATGGGTTTGCACTCCCACCAGTAGTGGAGGAGTGTTCCCCTTTCTCCACATCCTCTCCAGAATGAGTCATCATTGGTGTTTCTAATTTTAGCCATTCTGGCAGGAATAAGATGGTATCTCAAAGTTGTTTTGACTTGCATTTCCCTGATATCTAAGGATTTTGAGCACTTTCTTAAGTGCCCTTCAGCCTTTTTGATTTCCTCTATTGAGAATTCTTTCCCATTTATTAATTGTTGATCTCAGTGTCTGTGCTACTGGAGTTATGTTCAGGAAGCAGTCTCCTATACCAATTTGTTCAACTAAGAGGATCAGTGTGGCTGGATTGATGTTGACATCTTTGATCCATTTGGACATGAGTTTTGTGCATGGTGATAGACATGGGTCTATCTGTAGTCTTCTACACACCATCATCCAATTATGCCAACACCATTTGTTGAAGATGCTTTCCTCCCCCCATTGTATTCTTTTACCGGTTTTGTC